TATAATATGACCTAATCATTGCCATAAGAGCTGCTTCTCTAAAACCTCCATTTTTAAGTCCAAACCCTAAAATTAAATAAAAAAAATTAAAAAAAATTTATTAAATATAATAATGGCTCTTGCAATATTGATGGCCCGCTTTGTAATTGATTAATAATACATATATTTTATTAATTAAGTATACTACCTATATTGCAAGAGATTTTAAAATAGAAATATAAAATATACTTGTCACGATAATATGGATGCACGTAGTATGATAAGGGTCCTTAAACCTTTCGATTAAAAATCTTGATTGCTACTTGCTTAAACGGGTTTGTTGAGGCAATTCGATCGACCATTGCCGCAAGCTTAATTAAATGATTAAAACAATCGGCTAAGTTCTAATACATCGATGGTATCTTTGATTGGTGTCCAAGGAGTTTTAATTTGCCGACAAATTGTAAAAAAACTCATCATCAGTCAATAATATAAGTATTTTGGTATTAGAGATTACGTCTTGATGTTCATTCAATATCTGGGATGGTGCCAGTAAAAACCAAGCAATTTGTTTTTTGAGTTTTTTTTTAAAATTTTAAATTAAAATATCTCAACTATTAAACCAAACTTGATAAGAATTTTTTTATTTTAATCCTATAACTATATAAAATTAAAATAAAAAAAATTTTAAGTTTGTTGAGATATTTTAATTTAAAAATTAAAAAAAAACTCATTAAAAACAAATTGCTTGGTTTCTACTGATACCCTCATCTATACAAAATAAAAAAAAAAACAAAAGATTAAATAAATAAAAAATAAATAAATAATAAAATAAATAAAAAATAAAATACGTAAATAAAAAAATAAAATAAATAAAAAATAAAAATAAAATAAAAATTTTAATTCATACCAATCAAATACAGGCCTGGCACATAATATAGAATTTGTTGTAAAAAATAATGAGGCCCAACGAGTTCGACACCACATATGAAATTCTTCTAGTCGAATCTTCATCTCACTTAGGACTTGTCGTAAGTATGAATTACCTCGGTAAGATTCTCTAAAAAATTTCACAACCTTATTACATTTGTTAATTAAATCTTTAATTTCATTTTTTTTTTTAATTAGATCAGATGCAATTAAGTTTATGGCATGCGCCATAAAGCGTATATCCCAAATATGGGAATACATTTCTTGAATCTTTTTTCGTGCAGAACGACAATTAGATACAGCATCAGTGACTACTGCGGCGAATTTTTCACTTCCAACTTCTTCGATGAAATTAGAAATCTCTGATGACAAAAATTCACCCGTGAGTATTTCAGATGAGTAATTTTTTAATTTTAAAATATATTCTTTTCGGTCTACCGTAGATACGATATAATTGTAGTGAATCCGCACTACATACGTACGTAACAATTAGTTGATAATTAATTTTAAATTTATAATAATAGAACTATAGACGTTGGTGATACTTAAGAAAAACCTGTAAATTTTATGGTTTTCCTTTTGCGGTACTTCCAAAAATTTTTTATAGATTATACATAAAGTTAAATTGTCACAATGATCAAGTTCTTTATTGACCAGATTTGTAACTCATGCTACCTCCGCATCTAAAGGCCTTCCCGAAAGTGTAGATCGTGATGGTGGGTCGTATTTTAATTTTTTAAATAAATCCTGATAAAAGGATTTTCGATTACTTCGAATGGGATTACCCATGCTTTCAATAATGATTGATCGATTTGACATTTTGTTTCTGGAGAAAAACAGTCCACATTTTGTAAATCATTTGCTTGAACACGAGTTGTATTGGCATCCTCAATTAACTTTTGACGCCAGTAATAGCTAATATTTTCAGGGCATTTTACACAGTAATTGGCCAAATGTGCCTTCATAGTTTGTTTCCCACGTTCCCAAATAGCCGAACAGTGAAAACAAGTCGCTTTATAATGACCGTTGTCCCTACCTTTTATATAAAATGACCAAATTTCATGAAAGTTGGAATGCAATATCATTCGAACTTTCGCTTTCATGGTCCATCATTTTGAGAGAAATACCAAACAAAAAAAAACTTTATTATATTTATATATTATAAAATAAACTACGGTATGTACATATGTAATAAATCAATTACGTATACACGTATATACGTAGTTTATTTATCATTATCGTTATCAATCGTTATTATCATTATTCGAATTACAATCTACAAGAATTACAGTCTATAACATAATATTTAATATGACCAGAGTTATCATCTACGTACCAAATAATTGCAAATTCACTACAATCGGTCGTAATTCATTACCTCAATACAACTACATCACTAAGGACGACCACTGCGACCACGGGGACCACCTCGAAAACCTCTGCCACGTCCACCTCGCGCTGTATTAACACAAAAATTGTTAAATAGAGCTTGTAATTACATTAACGTAAGAGTACTAAATACAGACCTTGAGCTCTTGCTACTGTAGCTTTTCCTCTTCCCATTCCTATTCCTCTTCCTTTCATAGCGTTAGGCCCAATTTTTTTGAACATCGGCGCATTTTTCAGCATATCAGGTACGATAAAAAATCGAACGTGTGAGCCTCTAATGTACACTTGATCCAACTGTGAGACTCGACCATCTCGTGCTGTTACCGTGATTTCTCGAAGTTGTACATTCATATTATCTTCAGCTAATTTTGATTAAATTCAACCTTTGCAAAAAAAAATAAAATAAATAAAATAAAACAAATAAAAGTTTTTACCTTCAGATAATTTTCCTCTATAAACAGTTCCATTGTTTAATTCTAGAGTTACAATATGGCCTTGAGCTTCATGAAGTAATTTGATCGGTACGCCAATAGACATTTTGATTTGCGAGAAAGAACAGAATAAAACTGTTTCGAACGTGGTATCATTGTAATATCTACGTTTCTGTCACATGACTTAACCAGATTATCAAGGGACATTTTCTTACAGGGGTTCAAAATGTTGTATTATTGGTCAAATAAAATAATAACGTATCTCAAATCTTTTATTTTAAAAAACGAGTTGTTGAATAGCGTTTTTTAGCGAAACCGCAATCGTCGCACATTTTTGAGATTTATAATTTTATAAATAATACTTAATTCAGAAATAATAAAAATTTTGAAGAATTACATTATATTTCATTAAAAATACAATATGTAAATTGACAAAAAAAACGAGTATGTAAGAAAAAAGTTTTTAAAGATTTCTCAATACTATATATATATATAGATAACGACGAAACATCTAAATTAATAACAATCGAAGTTAATTTAATTTTAGGAGCTAGAACTGGATATATGTATTTGTTATATAGATTATACTGTTTGCCACTGCTTACAGTATCCCCCAAAAATAGTATCCTACCACATAAAGTACCCCCCTCTTCTACCAATGAGATCACTGGATTCGTGAATAGTACCCGGTACTATTCAATTTTAAAAATGATGTTCTTGAATAAGAC